ATGTATGCATATATATATATATAATATTCTCTGAGATTTGGACAATTTTTCTGCAGCACTGGTAAATGGCTATAAGTTCTACCTGCTCAGGCTGTCCTTTCCCCCCATGCCTGTCCTTCCCTTTGCCAATCCTGTCCACCTTTCCCCATACCCCCCCCCGACCCCATGCATAGGCAGCCCACTCCTGCCAAGTCACCAGACAGCCCTGAGATAACCCAGGGGCCCAGTGAAGACCCAGCCTCTCCACCACCTCATGGAGGGTTCAGCAGAGTCAAGAGGGGCACGGCTGTTCTTAATGCTCATACTATCTTAAAAAGGCTGAGGATGGCCTCAGACCCCAATGAGATCTGGTGAGCACAGCCTTTAAAGTTTTTATTTATCAAGAGGATCAGGAGACGGCTGTAAACTGCTCATGGTAGGGGAAGTGCCAGCTTGTGGGGGCTGCCCAACCCCCACCCCTGCCCCCCTGGACTCCTCAGAGGTACCCGGCACACACCACCCAGACCAGCTCCAAGTGTGGCCAGGAAGGTCAGTGGGCAAAACCTGCCAAAGTGGGCAGCCTGGACACTGGGAGTCAACATCGTTCCTCTTCTCTACAAGGTAGGACAAGTGCCTCCCCCCCAACCTCCACGCAGGGGGAGCCCAACTCCCCAGAGACATTCTGCTTGGTCACAGAAGACACAGTGCCCAGGTTGCTGACCCCAAGAACATCACTATGGAGGAGCCCAAGGATCTTTTCAAGTTGCCAGTAAGCCCATCCCCTTTCCTTTGGATATACGAGCCAGGATTTTTGTGCTATCTCATTATGCAGGCCCAACTTTTCCCTCCCAGATCTCAGTGATGAATGTAGACAGCCTTCCTACCTGTCCCCCAACTACTGGACTAGTACCATGGAGGACAGAAAACTTTCCTTTTTCACACTCCTTCCCAATCTTACCCCTCTGTCCCACACCCTACCTAGGGCTAGACTTGCTCTCTAAATTCCAAGTCTCTCATTCCATATTCCAAGACAGCCAACACCTATTCTACTTTTATCCTTAAGTGACTCTCCACTCAGAACCTCCCAGGCATCTTCTCTAGAAAGGTAACTTTCTTTGTCTTGAAGAAGTTCAATTTCCTTTCTTGCCTTTTTCTGTCTCTCGTCAAGAGCACCCTCACTCTTACTGTGTGTGCCCTGCCTGTCGGTCTGTCTGCTTGCTTGCTTACTTAATAAAGCTCCACCAAATTTTCTTACCTTTCTGACTTGTTCTTTGCCCTCTTGACCACATGGTGGGTTTTCCTGCAATCCCCACCCACTCTAACAAGTATTCAAAGGTTAATTTGTATGCTAATGCAGAAATTCACCAACATGGCCAATGATGGATTTCTTTGCAAGCATAAGGACGATTAGGAAAGGTAAAGAAAGGGAAAGGTAGTGAGGAAACAAAAAAATGGTTTCTTTGGATAAGAAAAGATTTTGGAAAGTAAGAATTGTCTGTTTGTTCTAAGAGCTTATGAGTGAAGTTAGTGAAGTTGGCATGTAATTAAGTTGGCTGTGATTTAAATAAAGTCAAGATTAATACACTGATGTAAGATGAGTATCTCATTCTTTATGTCCATCTATGGAAGTAATTGTGTGTGTACTATTTAGTGTGTCAAGTTTTTAGTATGTGTTTCCCAAGTATGAACGCCACCGTGGATACAGAGCTGACAGTGGCTTCAATTTTAACTAGCATTCTAAAATGCTATATTCAGTTTAGTAGCTGCTATTTTAAAGCTCATGTCTGCTGGGTTTTGTCATTGTAGCATTTTCTTCTGCAGCATTTAGTCAGACCCACAGAGCAATAACTCTTGCAAACCTAACAGATCAGGCCAGAGGATTGTGGAGCTCAGAAGTAGGAGACACCTGGCCATACAGCAGAGTCCACTGCAAAAGGAAAAACAGAAACACCAACGAAACAAAACAGAAAAAACAACACACTGATGATAAAAAAACTCACCATTAACTAGAGATAAAATTTCCTCAGGTATAAAGAAAGTCATTAATGTATGTTGTAAGGTGATGCTGAAATGCTTTTAGGCTCACAAAAGACTTACAAAATCAGCACATAGTTCCCACATATTGCCCAGCCACTTTCTCAATGTCAGCTCCTTACACCGTAATTACCCAAATTAAGAAATATCAGTACAGGGCTGGGAAGGTGGCTCAGTGGTAGAGCGCTTGCCTTGATGCCTGGGGCCCTGGGTTCAATTCCTCAGCACCACATAAACAAAAAGAAAAAAGCCGGAAGTGGCGCTGTGGCTCAAGTGGTAGAGCGCTAGCCTTGAGCTGAAGAGCTGAGGGACAGCGCCCAGG